ACCCAAACCAGTCTGGGATTCTATGAGATTTAGATTGCCTATCATCCATGACTTAAAAAAAAAAGAGATAAAAGTAAGCCTTGATGTGAGGTGTGCTGTCCCACAACTAGAAGCAGCCACAGCTCTCTAGCAAGATCCTGCTGACGTGGAAGTATCTGAAATTCAGGAAAAGCCACCCCTACCTGCAACACACCTACCAACTGACCGCAAGATTCTCTGCCATCCTGCAGCAAGGAGCAGCACAGGGAGCAATGCGGATCCAAGCTACACCACTGCTTACCCTTCTGATCACAGAGGAGCTGGAGAAATTATATACTGGCATATATATAATGAAGAAATTATAAACCTGCAGCCTGAAAACCAAGATATGAGGGAATAAAGTGATGGTTGAAAGAGTTATAAACAAAGCCTTGGAATGTGGTGATAGAATTACACAACCAGATGTTGACTCCTCACAAAATATGATGACTCCTCACAAAACCCCATATTTTCAACTTGGCATACACGTGGAGCTCCATTTCTCATTTATTCTAGATGAAGCATATTTAGATTCACAAACTATTTATTTATCTTTATGTTTTAACATCTAATATCAAACCTGAAATTACCAGAAAGAAATTATAATTTACACTCAAAATGTAGTTTAAATGCACTAAATTAATTTAAAGTCATATTGGCATAATCACTTACACTAAATAGGATTTGTACATCGAATATGCATCTGAGAATCATTAATAATCTGTTCTGGAAGCCCTTTTCAGCCAATGAGGCAGCAGATAGTATCTAAATTATTTTGCATTTATAATGAACCTAGTTTGTAATTTAAGAATATTATTCCTGCCTGAGAAGTAATTGTAGACAACACATAAGTGACAGCATAACCTCAAAATGCCAAATTAATCTTATATGCAATTATTTCAGAAGATACACATTTTAAGAATTATTTATCATTATTAACAATAATTGTGAGTTCTGATCCCAGCTCTGCTGACAACTCCCTGCTTTGAGCCAATCATTTCATCTGCATCTCTGTTCCCTCTGCCTTCAAAATGAAGATCACAGAATCCCAGACTGGTTTGGGTTGGAAGGGACCTTTCAGGGACATCCAGTCCAACCCCCTGCAGTGACAGGGACATCTTCAACCAGACCAGGTTGCTCAGAGCCCCGTCCAACCTGACCTTGAATGCTTCCAGGGATGGGGCTTCTACCACCTCTCTGGGCAACCTGGGCCAGAGTTTCACCACCCTCATTGTAAAAAATATATTCCTATATGCTCCACTAAAGTATTATAGAAATGTTTATATTAAAATGCAAAAGAAATGTAAAATTATGAGATTAAAAAAAAAAAAAATCAAAATCTATGTGCACTAATCAAGTGCAAGTGCTTTAGAGAAGAGTAACCCTGGAATATGCAAGTTTAATCAGAGTGTACTTGAACTTATATTAGCTTGAAAATGCAAATCCTACACCAGCATATATATGCAAAAAGAAGCTAAACCAGCACAGTGTTATACATTAGTAAGTATTTATATACCAGTTTCCTTCCCCAACTTTTGACAACTGCAAATTTAGCTCCACCCCTTTCCCCATCTATATTATTTACTTATTAGTATTTCAGGAGTGTTTTGTTTTAAATTCCAAATGTAAGGGGAAAAAAAAAAAACCCTGCGTATGTTTTGTGTGAGGCTGTGGTTATGTTTTAGGACTACTTAAGGCGACCTACCCTGTTCAGATCCTCTATTTCAGAACTGAAGTTTGTTTCTCCTTCCATCATTTCCTCCTCTTCTAATGTCCGTTCATCATCAAAGTCATGCACCAGCATATCAGCTGATGGATCAAATTCATGGTCATCAGATGTTGCTGAACCTCCTGATAGGAAACATTTTAAAGAATGTTTTTAGTTAGATCATGGCCTCACAGAATTTAGGGTTTTTTAATTATTATTTTATTTTGGTGACATTTTAAGACTCAAATTATACTGAGAAATTAAATACTTCAAAATCCCTCAATCATTTATTTTATGTAAAGCCAATCTCATTATTCAGAGGACAGAGGAAGCTGTTCTTTGGGTGGTAAGAGATCATGGAATAAGAACCAGGAGATATTCCTATATGCTCCCCTAAAGTATTATACAAATGTTTATATTAAAATGCAAAAGAAATGTAAAATTATGAGGGTTTTTTTTTAACCAGCCAGTTCTCAAAGTCCTATGTATCTGGAAAGTGGGTCCCTAGTTAAGTCTTTGTAAAATGTTTCGTTTTTGAAGACTTAATTTTTAAATAATTATAAACTTGCCTGAATCAAGAGTTCTACTGGGAGAAAGAATACTCATAAAATATAAACTCGGGGCAGTTGTTTGCTTAATACTTTGCAAACTTGCTTGTTTACAACTACAAAGACAGTCTAATGACTTTTTTCAAAATTAAAACTTCAAGTAAGCTTCACAGTTATGCAGATTTGATTGACGATGCAGAATCCTTAAGTTATTTTTCCCCATGCAGTCTTTTCACAGTTCTTTGTAAAGAAGTCTGGTTATACTTTATGACAATGAAAAATAAATGAATAGATGAATGGTTTGGCAGAGGCAGCAATTGTCATGTAATTCGGCAAGAACTCTATTTCTAATTCTAACCCTGCAAACATTTTTTCCACTTGTCTCCATGGACAATTTAAATTTCATTTTCCAAAGCTTGAAGAGTGTACCCACACAAAGGGTGCAAGAGGGAGGGCTTGACTCGAAGAATTAAGTATATTTTGTAGTTGGAAGTGTTAAAGCAATTGATTATTTCTCTGAAAGAAGGAAGAGCTCAAGAGACAAGGGCAGTCCAGCTAAAGGAATTAGTGGAAAGCTTTTCCACTAGTAGGGTGCCAAAAACCTGGGAAATAAGTAACACTAAGTACAAAAGTGAACAAAACCCCCCCCCAAATCTGTAATTTACACTTAGGTTGACAACTAAATAGCCAGTAATTCTGGGATACTGGAATATGAGAAAATAACCAGCTTTAAGAACAGAAGTAATGAAGTCTCTCACCCTTAGTTATTCGATGAGCTAAAAAACCACTGCTTTTCTTGATGCATTTGTTCTTGATGCTATTATGCATTAAAACACACACTGCTTTAATTTCTGACTCGGTTTGTAACTCTGACACCAAGAGGTGTCCATCCCTGGGTGAAAGAGTCTCTTCCACGCCCCCAGCACTCGCTGACGCTGTGCTCCTCAGGACACCAGCATTCCCCAGTGTGTGTCTGTGCACAAGAACCATCTTTCCCCAGTACATTTTACCATTTGTGCTGGTACAGACTGGAAGAAAGCAGGGACTACTTCAACCAGTACTGTTTATCCCATTATATCCTTACATTACTAACTGGAAAAGACCAGTAAAAATAATTTTTCCAGGGTACCCTCTTCCCTCACAAGTTTAGGAAATATTAAAAATATTTACCTGGGCTTGAAGACTCAACAGAAGGCTAAAAAAGAAAACACAGGAAATTATTTTTTCTATGCCAAACTTGTACAAACTCAATTCAATAATTTATCTATTTTATCTATTTTATTTAATCTATCTATTTTTAATTAACAAAGCAAGTCACTGCAAACAATTTATTCACAAATAAAGCACCATAAGTATGTTGAATTAATTGAAGGTAAAGAGTATTCATTTTCTCCTTTACGTATCAATATTGCTGCACTATTGCAGCAAGAATAATTGGAAGAACTGCCCGTTTTGTGATGCAATAATGGAGGTGATGAAGGTATAAAATAAAGCAAAACAATTAATTCTGAAAATTACAATTCCACTATCAGTTTATTATGGAATAAAGGGGTGCTATTGCCAGCTGGGGCAAAGCTGCTACTTCTCTCTCTATCTGCTCATTTCCAGTTCTTCCTTTATGCAGATATGAAACTGAAAAGATAAATTAGTTTTTAAAAGATCCAGCTCTGATTTAACTCCGTGTCCTAAATCTCCCTTTCCACAACCAAGGTGTATGTCAGATTAAATCGACAGTGGAAACCCAGTTTAAGAGGAATTATTCTTCCTCTTTGAAGAATATGCTCTGCAATACCCAAATTCCTGGTTCTATTTAAATTAAGGTAGATGTGATTACTTTTCAAAAGTAATCACAAATCACGATGAGAATTCCTCATAAAACAAGAGGAAAAAGCAATTTCATCTTAAACTCTAACCCAGCTGTAAAACAAAACAAACAAAAAACCCCAACAAAAATCAGTTTGCAAGCCAGACTTTCTCCCCAAATATCTTTATAACACCAATTAATATGATCACAGACTACAAAACAAATATATTTTTTGAAATACAGAAAAAAAAGAGACTTTCACAACAATCTTTATGTACCAGACATCCTTGGCCTAACGTATTTGGTAACGTTACATTTATACTCAGAACAAACACCTTCTTTCATCAAATTCTGCTTTTCCTTACTTAGAAACTTGGCCAATCTTTAATCTCCTGGGATGAAATTTGCATGTCAGACAGGCAAACCTCATTTGTTTGGAAAATTCAGGTAAATGTTTCAACTAATTCCAGGAACAGAATTTATTAAGTGGTTTTTTTTTCAAAGTTAAGAAGACTGACTTTGTAGTTCAGAGAGCTGCAGGATCCCCTTTCCCTGCCACCTTCTGGAAACTGAGATATTGTTTGGTCCCATGGGGATTGTTCTATTAGATAATGCACAATGTCTGCATGAAAAACTGTTTGGGCCAAGAAATAATTGGGAAAACTTCAATTTGCACATTCACAAGAGTGAATTTGCACGTTCACTTGCGTGTATGCGTGATCCTGGATTGCAAAATTGTATTAAAATTGGAAAATCTGAACTATATGTAAAATTAAAACAAGATATTACGTTAGAAACTGGTAAATGTAAATGTATAGATTTTCATGTGGTTTATAGATGAAAATAAAAAATAGATGAAAATATATTTCATCTATATTATATTATCTATATGAATAGATATATATTATCTATATGAATAGATATTCTATATATAATA